AAGAGGGAACACTTGGTGAATCAAATGATATACTTTCTGAAGGTATGAGAATAGAAGTATTATGAGAAGTATGATATTTTGAAGGAACTTGATGTGCAATGAACTCAACACAAATTGGAAACTGGGAAAAAGCTGGATGTAAGGTTTTCAAAGTTAGATAAAAAGTAAGGCTTGTATCATCATCTATAAAAACAAGGGGCGGACATGACTCAACAATGTAAGATATCCTAAAATCTTTATCGATTCTTCCCTTGAAAATGTTATGTATCAAATTATCACAGAAATCACTATAGGAAGAACCAAACAAAACAGAAACACCAATCGTGTGTTTATTATGAAACACATTATCAGGATTCCAGTATCCATCAACTATAACCATGACAAGAATATTATTATCCATGTCTATGACACCTGGAAATACAACAAATGACATGAATTTAAAACAATGTCATGAATTATCTACAATGTCAAACCAAAGATAAATCCAGAAGAGTAAAGCGTATGTAATAAGAAACATGGAAAGAAGGAAAAAATAACGAACATTAAAGAAGATTAGACACAGGAAAAACGATAATGATGATAAAGCATTCATAATACTTCCAGCTCTCCTAATCATAGAACCACAATAAAACTTCATACGACTATCAACAAGTAAACACCAATGAAAACAATTCTAATACACAATCATTATACAATTCAAGAATATAAAATTAATTACCTGAAATTTAAAAAGAAGATGAAGGCGAAGATTATTGTCGCAAACAACAAACGAACGGTAATACGATGTGATCGTAGCAAATAACGGGTGAGCGATAGCAGTTGAATATCACAACAGTTGATCGAAGTCAGGTGATAATTGCAACAATTCATCGATCGCAGCCATCGCAGCATTCGAAGGTGAGATGAAGCTGGAACGAGAGAAGAACGAGAGAAGAAAATCAGGCGAAAGAAAATAACGGTTTTGTGTTAGTTTAAGAAACAGGGGCAATTTTGGAAACTTCTTAAAATTAGGTCCTATTTAGGAGTAAAAAAAAGTCAATCTTATTTAATTACATACCATAAGTTAAGCTCCTATTTAACACCATTTCTCAAAATAATACTCCATGTACATTTGAGCTTTCATAGTTTCATTAAATAAAGTGTTGAAGTATATTTTAGATGATGTTTAGATATAATAAATAAACAATATAGTTTATCCTAATTTATAAGGGTGTTAGTACAGTCATTTACTAACTTTAGTAAGTTAGAATTAACAATAAAAAATTTACAACTAACTACCAATAGTTTTTTCGATTTAAGAATTAAGAAACCCATATAAAATATAAATTTTACATGGCTACAACTCTGGTAGAAGGTTTAAGATATATAAAGAGAAAATACATTAGTTATCAAAAAACTTATTACATTATTTATCAGATTTTATGGACATTTTTTTGAATAATATTTCTCAATATGCTATTTCTATTCCTCAAGAATTGGTGCTCAATTTCTGAGTAACTATTTTGTTTATATTGCTTTATAGAAAGATTTGTATTTGAATCCGTCGCAAATCAAATTATAATGGATCGCTTTCAAAAGACAAAAACTCGAATAGAGCAGTTGTGATTTAGGGGATATTTGGATCTGATTCTTAAAACTGCTTCTGCTCCTTCAGGGAACAGAAGCAGAAGTTGAAGTGTTTGGGTGAAAGTGCAAAAATGATTCTGGTGCTCTAATTTACTCCTAGAATCATTTTTTAGAAGCTGAGAGTGATCAGCTTCTGAAAATTGATTCTTATTCTGCTTATGCTTTAAAAAAGAAGCAGAAGCAGAACCATTTCCAAACACCCCCTTACTCTTTTAGGGTTTTTGTATTGTAATATACTTTATATAGTTTGAAAATTCTCACGTTCTTTATTACTACCTCCGTAACCCTATAATCTTCCCTGTTTGACTCTTTTGAGTCAAACTTTATAAACTTTGACCATTAATTATTCAAAACTCACATTATGTTATGATTAAATTTATTTCATATACCTCATTGTAAAACATATTATTTGAATGCTAATTTATTATGAATTTTATACATATAGATATGTAGATATTAGAGTCAAAGTTCAACTTAGAAGACTGTGAAAAGTCAAAATGGGAAGATCTTTGTGTTACGGAGGTAGTAGAGTTTTTGCTATTCAAATATATTGTATTAATTTTTTTTTAACGTCAATGTTACTCTGTCCCCAATAGCTCGGATTCCTGGAACCGCCACTGCCTCTCCCTCTCTTCTTTTCTTCCTTCAATTCTTTTGGCTTCAATTATGAAAAAGGATTCATTTAATCACTATTTCCAGTTCTATATATATGTTTGTTTTCTAGCGTTGTCTAGAGATGTTATTTTCGATGGTGAATTGTGCTAGTAATGGATTTCTAGCGGTTCATCATCAATCATGAATCTAGATTTTTTTTTGCATCAATATTGAGACCGGTCATCCCCTCGTGAACCATCACTGATCCACGTAGATGGGATTGCATAGATTACTTTCTTTCTGGTGGCTGGTGAAACCAGAACAAATTCTGCATTTGGCTCTTTACCTGTGGCTGGCAAAATCGGGAAATTCAATAGTTCCTTTTTGGTGACTGGTCAAATCAGATCCATTTTGAGTATAATGAGCAGTAACATTGCGTTACTAGTCTACATCGTTGCAGAGTTAACGAACATGAGCGCCTTTATAGGTCTTTTTGTTCTTTGTGTCACCTCAGTATAGCTTTGAACGTTGTGATTATAATGCTTCGGCTTTTGATTGTTATGTTTCTTGACACTCTTATCAATAATAATTAAGTTATTTGTTTTCAACAAAAATTGTATAACCATTACTAAATGTCTGTTTTAACTGTTATAAATAATACCCCGTGCCAGATCATATTTTTTGAGATTTATGAATACGAGCCGTTATTAATACATTTTGTATTTTATAAATTTGCCCCGCCCAATTGGACAAATCTTTTATAAATTATGAATTGGGCCCTGCATCAACATATTATTATGACTCTTATCCAACCCATATTAATGTTAGTTATAGAATGCATATCTTGTATTAGTGACCCCATGTTCCAAATTGAAGTTGCAAACTTCACGAGCACGTAAATTAATACTCACTCCGTTTCCAAAAGAAAGTCACGATTACTAAAGAAATAAATTGACTTTACTGTAGAAAACACTGTTTGAACACTGTTTGGCACTATTTCGCACTGTTTGTCACTGTTTGGATGTAGATTTCTTTGCCAAATAAGGAAATAAGGGAAGTGTGACTTTGTTTTTGAAACATCTCAAAACTGAAAGTGTGAGTTTCTTTTAGAAACGGAGGGAGTATATTTTTTGAAATTTTCAAATTTCATTGCTTTTGTCTGGTATTTACTCGCTGAATATTCGCAACTCAGGGATGGCTGAGCCATAGCAATCTGACTCGGCCCGTTCCTTTTTTCGGTTACTTGCTGAGTGTTTGGTGATTTTCTTAAATCAGTGACAAGTATGACTCGCCGAGTTACTCATCAACTACTAACTGCTACTAACTTCGATGTCTCGCTAAGTTTGGTACAAGAGGATAATGTTGATATTGAGAAACATGAGTTTATATGATTGATGATGAACTGATAAGATAATAATAAAATAACTTGTTTAGAACCACGTAAATATTACAAAATTTAGTATGAATGAGTCTTAATGAGACGGACAAAAAAGAAAAGATGAGATAATCTTAGCAGGACGACGGTTGTACCTTTTTGGATTAAATTTGAAAAGTTTAAATTAAAACCAGATACTATAGAATTTACAAATTAAATAATTAGTACGTATTTTAAAATTGGAAAAACTACACTCCATTTTGGACATAATAAAGATTAGCTTCAGACTAAATTATTAACAAATTGATTTTCTTGAAAACTTGGAATGTTTATGATTTTTTCTTCGTATTTCATTGTTATGATTATTATTGATTTATTTAGAAATAATTATATATATGACTAAAATAAATGTTATTTACAAAAATATGACTTTCTAAGTGTAGTGACTATAATAATAACTTGGTCATAATAATTTATGTTCAATTTTTACACTTAAATAATTATGAAATTATATTATAGTATCTATCAATCTGATTTTTGTAAACAAGTTTCATTTCAATAATATTTTTAAAAAATCTCTTTTGTTTATATGGCTTGCTTTGAATTATAAGCTGCCATAATTAAGTTAACATTATCTCACTACACTTAGAAAGTTACATTTTATAAATCATAATTATTTTAATCATATGTAATTATTTCTAAAAACATTCTTAGATAAAGATAATTAAATTTAGGGCTTGTTTGGTAACGGCTGCAGCTGTTGGAATGGCTGAAAAGCCTGAAAAGGCTGAATCTATTGAAGTGAACGTGTTTGGTAATATATTGACTGAAATGACTAATTGAATGTAGAATTTCATAAAGGGTATTAACTTGTTTATGTTAAATATATGGATATGAACTTTGCTAGCAAAGTGTTTTTGCTTGATTATGTGATTATACAATTACTTAATTTACTAATTACTTTGGAAATTTTGCTTACTGTTACACTGAAAATATCAATATTATTTTAGCCCTTATACGTATTGTATGAAGGATAAAGAAGTAATTCCATACACCTAACAATATGATAGGTCTTGGGTTGTTTTTTGGCTGAAAATAAGAATCAGCCACAAGTCCACAACGGTCCATTTTATGGGTGTTTGGGATTTTTTTTGCATTTAAAGGGTTTTCAAGTCACAAAATGTTCCTCATCCTACCTCTGACCTTACCATCCTCATACAACCACGAATTGCTATCGGTGAGCGTAGCTCAACTGGTAGATAAAGGGTAGATAGAGGATGTCACAAGGGGTAAGTTTCGGATTCGAATCCTAACAAGTGCGATGAGAAGTTACTATGTTAAAAAATGCATAGAATATTATCAGGAACCCTCCTTATTTGAGAACTTGCGATTAAAGTCCAAATATGTCACTTTTGGGTGTTATCCTTTTTTTCTCATACAAACACCTGCATGTGGGACCAAATCATACTACGAAGCGAGCGGGTGGCTCTCAGATTTTCAACTCGCCATGGCAGCTCTCCCTTCATCATCAAACGCCATCATCGCTTCTCGCATTTCGTATTTCTCCACTCCGACTCTGGTAACGCTGTCTTCTGCCGTCCCTTGCATACGCCATCACCTGGGTGTTTTTCCGGAAGGTACTCCGGAATAATTTGCTATGCGGTTCGATTTCTATGTCATTTCAAATTCATGTCTATGTGGGGAAATTAGATAAAAACACTTGTTAATGGAGGAAATAAAAATAATACAAGAACCGTGTAATCACAACATGTTGAAGGGATGTTTATAATCGTCACATATTCCCGGTTCTCGGCGCTGAAGAAGGGAATAATCAATTTCACTGTACTCTATTCTAAACTAGCGTTTCCACTCACTATTCTTCTGTCATCTCTAAGCTCTTTTAATCTCGAATTTTTACTGTATTCAAACTATGTCTTAGGCTCTTAGCAGTTCAGTAAAATTTTAATAACACCAAGTAGTTCCCCTATTTGTAAATTTTAATTACATCACTAATTTTAATACCCCTGATTTGGAAGGGAGGGAAAAGATTTCATGCAACAATTTTGTTGTTTCTTAATCTGTTTCTTGTTTTAAAATGCACTCCGTATTTGTTGTTTGCTATTGCAGTGGACTCATTAGATAGAAAAGTGCCAAATCGGAGTAAAATATCAAAGAGTTATGCTTGCAGTTCCAGGAAAAATCTTTGTTGTGATAATGGAGAAACTTCTGTTCTGAAGGTACTCTTTCATCAGTTTTACTTATTTGGCTACAGCCTAATAATTTCAACACCTTCTTGCAAATGTCATGCTTTTATCAAGCTTGTGGCGGGTTATAGTAACATTAAAAAAGTAATTCTAGAAGTTTTTTTTGTTTTTTGAATCACGTCCTTAACTATTTTGTCTGTGGGCTTTGTTTGTGATGGTGGATGGTATAATAGCAGTAGTGCTACTTCAACAACATCCAAGCCTTATTTCTAAAAGAGGTTAGACCATAGGTACAGGGATCGCATATATGCCCGCGACTTACGTTCCGGATCGCGGTACGTTCGCGATCGGAACGATTGCGAAACGCGTTTCAGGTACGGCGTATCATCGTCGCAGATCGCGTGCTTCTTCCAGCGGAAACGCCGAATCCATTGTGCTGTTCGATGTTCCATCCAGCGACGAAGCGGCAACTCTTAAGGTACGAAGTTCAAGCGTCGGCGACTGATTTTCGAATTGATTTTTCAAACGCCAAGCGTCGGCGACTGACGAGCTTCACAGGTACAACTATTCATTTGTTTTTTACACTTCAAATTTGAAGCAATCGCACCTATTTAAAGGCCTCATGATACACTCTCTGCACACCTCTCTACTCTCTGTTCTCTACTAGCCTCTGCACACCTCTTTACTCTCAGTTCTCTGCTCTCTGTTTTCTTCAAAATGGTATTTGGCAAGCGTAAATTGCTAGAAACACAGTCCGATGATATCACAGATATGACCCTGAGTGATGAAGAAATAATAGAAACTGCTCCTACTCCAGTTGCTACAGAAGAGGTCTGCACAGGAAATCAAAGTTCAAAACAAGACAGAGATGACAGACCTTTATTAGAAGAAGTAACCTTTATTGGAGCTCCAACCTCTAAAAATGCAGGGGGTGCCAAGGTTTGGATATGTAAGCATTGTATTAAAAAATTTACAAGCTCTTACACTAGAATACATGTCCATTTCTTTGGTTCTCAACCGAGGAAGAAGGCTGAAATTAAATGGTGCCCTGCTTTGCTCAACGATCGGGAGAAGTATGAACGCTTGTTGAATAAAGTCAAGGCGGCTGAAAAGGCGGGAGTCTCTCGATCCTTGAAAAACTTTGTGCTCAATAAACCACAAAGTATTCCTTCAAAAAAACCAATTCAAGACTCCTTCGGAATAATGGAGAGAAGTATGGTGGATTTGAAAATCATGAGAGGATTGTGTGCAAACGGTATTCCCTTTAATGTACTTCGCAATCCTCAATTTATAGAAATGGTAAGTGCCATCAACAAGGCACCCGCGGGTTACAAACCTCCATCTAGTGAGAAAGCAAGGACGGTTTTGCTTGATGAATGCGTTCGAGATGTGGAAAAAAACCTCACACCGATTAAAGATACTTGGTATTCACAAGGTGTTTCCATCGTATCCGATGGGTGGTCGAATATAAAGCATAAGCCCTTGATAAATGTCATTGCCGTCAACAGTCGCGGTGCAATGTTCATGTACGCGGAGGACTTTTTTGGGTTGGAAAAAACCGGTGTGGCAATTGCGAATTTCTTGCTTGGAGCAATTGAAACCGTAGGACCGAGCAATGTCCTTCAAGTTGTGACCGACAACGCATCAAATTGCAAAGCTGCGGGTAGGGAAATTGAGAAGGTACATAAACACATCTTTTGGTCTCCTTGTTGTGTTCATACCTTGAATTTGATTTTCAAAGATCTTGCCAAGGAACTTGATTGGTTGATGACTACGTATACGAGAGGAAAAGTTATTGTGAAATATTTTCTTAATCACACCCAAGCTTTGGCAATTTTTAGAGATAATTCAAAGCTGGAGTTGTTGAAAGTTGCCAAGACTAGGTTTGCGTCACATTATATTTTGTTGAAAAGGTTAAGGGATTGTAGAGAGGCTCTTGCTACAACTATTGCTCTTAATTCTTGGAGAGTGGGTGAAACAAGGGGATGAAAACACTAGAGTGACTGGATTGTTAGTCGCTGATACTATTAGGAGTGAGGAATTTTGGGATGATGTGGATAACATTCTTGCAATAACAAAACCAATTTTTTGTTAATCAAGTTTTGTGATGGTGAAGGATAAAAAATGGGGAAATCTACGAAAAAATGGATAACATGTTGGGAGAAATAAAAGATATCGTGGCTACAAATCAATACGCTTCGGACTTTCCCAAAGTAGAGGCTATTGCGTTAGCTAGGTGGGAGAAGATGACCATTCCTTTGCACTATTTGGGTTTTGCTTTATCAACACGATTTTATGATGTTTGTTATCTCGAGCAATTAGCACCCGGTGGAGTTGCTAGAAAAACTCCAAATTTGGACAAAGAAGTTGTGTTAGGTCTGATGGAGGCTTTTAAAAAAATTGGTGAGAACCACGAAGAACAAAGGCTCTTAAGAGAACAATTTGCAAAGTTTCACATGAAGAAGGGATTATTTTCTATGGTGGCAGCTCAGATGGATGCGGTGACTATGGAGGCCATCGATTGGTGGTCAACATACGGTTCACAGACACCTGAGTTAGCGGAGGTTGCAAAAATAGTATTGTCACAGCCTATAAGTAGTTCCTCAGCTGAGAGGAATTGGAGCACTTACTCTTACATTCACAGTGTGAAGAGAAACCGTTTGAATTGTAAACGGGCTGACAAGTTGGTGTTCATTCATTCAAACATTCGTCTTCAATCAAGATTTTCCAAAAGTTACAAAGTTGGCCCGAATAAGAAATGGGACATTAATCCTGAAAGTGCGTATGTGGAAGGGTCAAGTGCAAGACTCGATGAGCTACAATGGGAAGATTTAGAAGAAGATGTTGGTCCAAATGATAAAGGAAAGAGGCCAAGGATTGACTAGTTTGCTGATGTTTAATGTTTTGTTGAAGTTTGTTTAATGTTTATTACTTTATTTCCTATTATGTTGAAGTTGTTGGCTTGTTGCTGGAATTTTGAAACTTTGTTTACTGTTTTGTTATCTTTTATTGTTGTTGCAAACATCGTTAAGTTTGTTTACTGTTATTGAAGTTATAAAAGTTAATTGTTTAATATTATACTTGTATTAATTCTAATTATACTTAGTGTTTTCAATATGTTTATGGTTCACCGTACCATAAACAGAGCGTACAGCGTACCACGTACCGAAATCGCGTACCGAAGAAGCCTACCCCCTACGTATCGGATTTCTAATTTTGGCGATCTGCATTCCCATTTTCGTACCGCGTACCCAAGCGTACCGCGATCCATGTGACTATGGGTTAGACACATGATACAGGAGTTAAAAATAATAAATAGAGAAAGAGGGAGAGAAGCAATATAAGATCAATCCTCCATTGTGTATGCTTCACAATAAATAGAGAAGAGGAGGAATGCTACTTCAAATTAGTTAAATTAAATCATTAATTTGGTTAATCTTTCTTTTTCGTGTGCTCAAATGATTTACTTTTCTTTCATTGGCTCATACCTAATGCATTCTTGAGTATCGTAGAATTTCATAGTGTTTACTGCTTTTACCACTGTTATAAACTTTTCTGCTAGTAGTACTCTCTGCCCAATTAATCAGCTAGTTTTGGTGTCTTCATCCTATAGACCAAACAGCCACTTCTTATTATCTTGTGTACATAACCAGCCACTTTTAAATGAAAAATCATCTAAGAAGAATCATGTACCCCTGTATGTGTATACTTGTATTCTCACTAGGAGTTTTCTTATACATAACCAGAGTAAAGATTTTGCAGTTCCCAGGAGAGGGGCAGTCGCCTTGATTTTCTCAAGTTTCGTGCTAAGAAATTCACTAGACACCTCACTTGCTCAATCCATTGGATTTAGGGAGTACATTGATAACTTTAATGGCTATTCATTCATGTATCCTCACAACTGGATTCAAGTAAGAGGTGCTGGTGCTGACATATTCTTCAGGGATCCTTATGTTCTCGATGTGAATCTCTCCTTGGAGATATCCTCTCCTTCCTCCTCCAAGTATCAAAGTGTAGAAGATTTGGGCCCACCCCAAGAAGCTGCAAAGAAAGCACTTCGCCAGTATTTGACAGAGTTCATGTCCACTAGGCTTGGCGTCAGGCGTGAATCAAGCATTCTCTCCTCTTCTTCAAGAGTGGCAGATGACGGGAGGTTGTACTATCAAGTTGAGGTAATATCTTACATAGTTATTCCAAAGTACCCAGCTATTAAACATTTGAAACCCGTATCCCAATGCATTTATTTTGCATCCCAATAAAAAGCTTTCTACTTATGATTCCTTAAATAACACTCTTAGGAGATGTTTACTTCAGTGCTAAAAACACAGTTAGGTTGGTAAGACATGTGAAGTAAACACACATGCTGCTTAAAAAGCTGTTTAATAACCCAAACACATGCTTAAAGTGTCGCTTACTAAGCATACCACCCCTCATGTATTAATTAAGCATCAATTTAAGTTTTTTCAGTTTCCGCATTTACCCTTACACCTTATAAATATATTCTATAAAATACGCATACATACATGTGCACACATAAATATAATATTATATATAGAATACTATGTATATATGTATATATTATATTATGCTATGCTATGTTATGTGTATATTATATATACATGTGCTTATATGAATGTGTGTTCATATACATGTATAGAGTTACTTTGGGCCATTTTAATGTTAAATGGTATGGAGTATTTTTTATCATATGCGCTTATAGCACTGCTTGTTTTATGTATTGCTTAGTAACACATGTCTTAATAAGCACCATTTAGTACCCCGTGGAGTAAAAATGTCCTTATAGTAATCATTAGCATTTTCCATTTTTTTTATGTTACATATTTAGCTTTTATACTTATCATTTATATAAATCAGATCCAGATCTTGTCCCGTCCAAAATTGAATATTCAATAGCCTTGACCGTTTTAAAATATTCAAATAGGGTCTGGATCCAGATGGGAATTAATTTTATGCACATAGTCCAATACATATGACGACTCTGTGTCTGAATCGGCTGAGACCTCACCCAATTACAATCTTACCAGCATAGTAAAAAGTAGGGAGTAACTCCAAGAAGACATTGATATGGTTAGAACATAGCATCTCTAGAGACAGTTTATTGCTTTGAGATTGGAGATTGATATACATGTGTCCATTGTAAACAGTCTAAGCAATACAGTTATATGAAATTAAAAAAGAATGCCCTAATCAAGTAGCATTGTATTTCTGTTAGTGTCAACTGTCAAGAATTGAATCACTGCATGAAATTATGTAATGCATTTTTTCAATGTCCCAAACAGGTGAATATAAAGTCATATGCCAACAACAATGAGTTGGCTGTGATGCCACAAGATCGAGTGGCTCGCCTGGAATGGGATCGGCGATACCTCTCCGTACTTGGAGTGGAAAACAACAGGTTGTATGAATTGAGAATACAGACTCCTGAAAAGGAATTCTCTGTAGCGGAGAAGGACATTCGCAAAGTCATGAACTCCTTCAGAGTGAATAAGGTGTCAGTTTAATCTTTGTTGTTTTCTGGGTCATGATGTTCTTTTCTCTTCTTCCTATCTTTTATTTGGGTTGCCTTTTGATGAGTCTGGAACTTAGTTTTCTTTTAGTATGCTGTAAAAAGAAGTATATTCTCAAGTTAATCGGTTCCCTTTAAGCAAAACTTAAAAACTCTGTAATATTTAAGAAAAGAATGACAATATGGAGTATATGACTAAAATAAAGACAATGGATAAAAATGTAACTTTTTATACTCTTGTGACTATAATGTTTTAATTTACATTATAGTGACTATGAGAACTTATGTCACCATTTTAAAAAATATTAATTAATGTCACTATCCCAAGTTCCCAACTCAGCCTAAACTTTCACAGCAACATTTTATAACCTTTTGGACAATTAGTAATTGATCTGTGTCATTATTTGTTTAACTTTGAATTATTCAATTGTAATTATCTAATTAGATTATGTGGATAAGATGTCATAGAATTTGCCTAAATGAGATGATGCAAAAAAAGAACGAAAGAAAGTAATACTATCTTAGTAGTTATGTATGTTTCATGCTCAACGATGGTTGTTTAAGAGATGAATGAGGTACTAAACCAAAAAATGTAAATTAAATTGATGAAATATGAAAAGTAATTTGGTATGGATCTCAAACAAAACAATACTATTAAAAGGGTTTACTTAAATACTCCATATATTATTAGGGATTAAAAATATATTTAAAAATAATATTACCCCGTTCTTTTTTTAGTCATCTTTGACTTTTTCAATCAAAGATGATAAACTTTGATCTATTATTTTAACTAATATATTTGTATGAAACTTAATAAATTTGTACTTTTATTATACAAGTAATATTTTTAACAAAGAACATTTTCATATTATGTTCATATTATCAATAATGCAATACTACCTCCGTCCCACTAAGATTGGGACAAGAGAAGGTGGCACGATTATTAAGAAAAGTGGATTTGTGTGATTGATATTAAATTGATAAAGTAAGAATAAAGTAAAAATGATTTAGAGTCACACAAATTTTACCAAATTTGGTATGGGAGAATCTTAGTGGGATTTCTCAAAAAGGTAAAACGGGACAATCTTAGCGAGACGGAGGGAGTACTATTTTCAAATTCGGTTCCAAAAAAATGACTATTTTACATAGGCATAACTATCAATTAGGAGTGGATTCGGGCCGGTCCAGTTCCGGGCCGGTTGGCCCGGCCCTGAACCAGACCCGGTGGCTACCCAGGCCGGTCCCGGGTCCACCATTCCTGAACCGCTGGCTCGGACCCGAGTTCACCCCTAGTGCTGGATGTGCAAGGAGAAGCTAAAGGATTTTTGAATTAATGAGATAAGGTCACTTTATTGGAAAACAAAAAAGAGGTAACAGTTTTGTTTCCAAAACAGTATTAGTAATTTCAGGACCATTTTTTCTTTAAAGAATTGTTCGTATTCTGTCTTCCATAATGCAAAGAGGTGATATTTATGTCGTTTTTTTAAAAATAATAATATGCATGAAGTAATAAAAAAATAATTCAAGTTAAAGGTCGTGTTTGCACATTACTATATTATAATTAAATGGCATAAATGACCCATTGCATGCAAACTTTGTATCCGAGTAAAGGTTGGACCTAATGGTGGACACGGTCCGGTTTTAGGTTGGTTCTGGTCATGAACCAGCGGGTACTTGGAGGGATATGAAAATCGAGATCAGGACTTCTATTTTTGGTTCCAGGTTGGTCTTGATCTTGTCCCATTTTTTATATGTTTAATCCATGCATCCTCTATAGTATTGAAATAAAAATGAATTGAAGGTTGGTTGTCCAAAATTCCTTTTTGACGACTAAAGTTGAATATATGTTTTTTCATAATCTACTAATTCAACCACTATACTAATGTAGCTACAATGTTATCAAATCCAACCATTTGAAGTTCTCAATTATTTTAAGCTTTACTCTTAGAGTTCAACTCTCAGTTCGCTCAGGTAATATGTAAGATTCTCGCCATTTAGTCTGAAAATATGGTCCAAATCGTCCGAGAAACCTTGAAGAATAACAATATATGGAGGCCAGCCGGTCACAAATCCACAACTAAAACATTTCCACAATGATCAGTGTTCACAGTAACAGTTTACAAAGCCAGGTTCAAGATAGTTGTAACTAAAAAAAGGAAAAAAAAAATTGTGGTACCTTTTAGACCGATCACTAAGGGGGTGTATTGTATGAGGAGTTAGTGACAAAATTTTAAAAGTCAATGGATTTTAAAAGTTTAGTTGTATTCAATGTGGATTTTTAAAAGTCTACGAAAGTCTAGATGCATTCAATGTAGACTTTTAAAAGTCTGTAAAAGTCTAGACATATTCAAAGTTCCGTTCATTCCTATTGATTTCTAAAATCATGGATTCTCGTGAACTTTTAACTCATTTTTAGTACATTAATTCTCTGCAATTATCTCTTCTCCTCACTAAAGATTTCCGTGGACTTTTCTTATATCGGTTCTTCATCCCGTCCCACCTCATCACTCCCCCAACTCTCCTCTTCTTTAGCCAAGTGATCCCTTCCCCTTCGATCTTTCTTCTTCTTCAACCCAGTTCGCCCCACCTCTTCCTTCCGTTCTTTTTCTTCTTCAGCTTGCCCCACCCCGCCCCCTTGATTCACCCTTGGTTCGTTAATCCCATATTGGGTCGATTCTAGAAGTTCCTAGAAGAACTGGTATAAGAATCGATAGTATTACATGAGTGCAATTCTAGTACATCATCACTTAACCATTAAGAAAATAAATATTTCAGCTATTACTTTCTTTCATCATTAAATCGCTAACACATAAAAATATAATTTCAAATTAATAAATATATAACCGTAAATAAGTATACAAAATTTTACAAGATAGAAATGAAAAGTAAACAATTATTAAGAAGAAAAGTTCGATTGCATTTATGTTGTACCACATGTAGCAATGAGTGTAACGATTAATGTTCTTACTCATTAATAAAATAACCAAAATTCTTGAGCATTCTTGAAACTTTGAGTTTTATTTTAATAAAAATAAATTTGGATTCTTATGCTCCATTTATTCTTGTAGAACTTTCTGTTGCTATATGAATTACATTTGTTTTATTTATTTATTTGTTTGTTTGTTTGTTTGTTTGTTTGTTTGTTTTTTCTTATCAAGTTATCATACTCCATATTATACAAAGAAAATTACTCAAGGTAGGACTAAAACATACAGAGTAACATTCTTCTTAAAGTATGATCATATGTTTGATTTTCCTTAAATAGGACTAAATATTACACATTCACCCCTAATTTAATTAATTAATTAATTAATATAATTAATTGTCCCTAGTTCCCTTGCATAACCAAATCAATTTTGTTGGTGGCAGATTAGTCTGATGAAGACAACGAGGAAATCCGGTGACGGAGGCCGACGGATTTAAAAGTCTATGGACTTTTTGAAAGTCAATAAACTTATTCATTGATTTAAAAGTCCATAGAATTCATTCATAAAAAAGTCTATGGATTTAAAAGTTCATTGACTTTTTTAAAAGTCCACGGATTAAAAAAGGTCCGTCACAATCCATATTCAATACACCCCTTAAATTGCATGTTCCCCTCCATCAATAATGAAATGCACATTATGCACATATAGTAAGAAACAGTACATTGGAGAATTAATTAAAGGCAAAACAGCAGTTTCCTGCTCGGAAACCTTTGAGTAGGGATGGCAACGGGGCGGATCGGGGACGGTTTTGCATATAACCGTAACCGCCCCGTTGGGTAATTTCCCCGCCCCGTAACCGCCCCATTACCCAACGGGTAATTTTTACCCAAACCATAACCGCCCCAACGGGTAACGGGTAAAACTTCGGGTAACCGCGGGTAACCACTTTATTACTTGAGTCATTAAATTTTGATATAAAAATAATATTTTAAAAGGCGAAGAATGACATCGCCTAGACGACTCTACACTTCAGATGCCAATTTAAAGATTTGTATACATACATGACGAGAAATCAAGCAACTTAAATTAATTTGAACCTAAAAATACTTGATCTAAAAAATAATTAATCACAAAAATATGGTAATAATCAAACAAGACTATTAAAATCTATTATGAACTTTCGTTCATACATTATAGTTAGTACATCTATTATCTATATATACACAATGGAAAGAAAAAATCTCATCTTTTAATAGTTGTTAGACAAATAATAGATAAAAATATAATAAAAATATATCTACAAATAAACGGGGCGGGTACGGGGCGGGTAATGGGGCGGGCATGTATAAAACCGTAACCGCCCCATTACCCGTAAAAAGAAAACGGGGATTCCCCGCCCCGTACCCGTTACCCGGTCAATGCGGTTTTCCCCATTTTGACCAGGGCGGTTCGGTACGGGTATCCATCGGTTCGGTCACAATTGCCATCTCTACCTTTGAGATCATTTTACTTTTCACTTACAATGCGGTTCAAAAAATGCCACCAAGAATGTGGTCATTGGCCAAAGAGACTTGTAAGAATTTCTGGGTTCAGCTTCTGGAGAAATGAAAACTGACTTACTTGTTTAGACATAAGTCCAATCACACGATCCATGTACAACACATAAAGCCCAATCCTGCATTCCAGTAGTTCCAGCCCCTTCCTTGCTCGCAGAACTGACACACCCATTCTTCAAAAAGCCCTGTAGAGGTCTCACAGCTTAACCCCACAAACAAAACACTCACAAATTCCTAGAGAAAGAGTTTATGGTTTAAGTTGTGCTCCTATGTTACATAAAACAAAGCGCTTGTGTTAAGGAAGCCCGTGAAAGA